AAAAAAAAAAAAAAAAAAATATATATATATATATATATATATCTTCATGTATACTTTAAACCAGGATTTTAAAAATTTCAAATACTACAATATTCTGATGAAATTAAATTTTGTTCTGGCCAAAACAAAATTGCTTATTCTGATGAAATTAAATTTTGTTCTGGCCATCAACAGACATAAATTAACTCTTAAAAAGATAAGATAAAGATAATAGGGTATAAAGAGTATTTACATGGTAGTTACATTGTATTAGGTAGTACAAGTAATCTAGCCACAACAAAACAGAGAATGTAATGATAATACCCAATGTGATATTGATATAGTTATCAAAACTAGGAAATTAACAGTGGTACAATAATGTTAACAAAACTACAGCCTTCATTCTGCATTCTCCTAGTTTTTCAAATAGTGTCCCGCTTCTATTCAGCATCCAGTCTAGGATGCCACATTGCATTCAGTGGCCATATCTCTTCAGTCTAACTTATGTGCCATTCTTAATCTTTTTTTTCCTTGTACTTTGGGGCCTTGATACTTTTGAAGAGTGGTAGTCATGTCATCTGTAGAATGGACCTAAAGATGTATTTATGTACAATGGAGTATTACTCAGCTATAAAAATTCAATTTGTATTTTTCTGATATTTTCTCATAGGTAAATTACATTAACATGACACTATTGGTAGTGTTAACCTTGACCATTTGGTCACGGTGGTGTCTGCCAGATTTCTCCACAGTAAAGTCACTATTGTAGTCCCCCTCTATCCCTAGGAAATATGTTTCAAGACCTCCAGTTAATCTTGAAACTGCAGGCAGTATCAACCTCTATTTATACTGTGTTTTAGCCTGTACATGCCTATGTGGAAGTTTAATTTGTATGTTAGGCATAGTAAGAAATTAACAATAATAGCTAAAAATAAAATAGGACAACTAACATAGTGTAATAAAAATTACATGAATGTCGTCTCTCAGAATTTTTGTTTTTGTTTTCAAGAATGTGTAGATGCTGTGCTCTGCTCACTACGCCTGGCTTCAGCATAGGCCGGTAGTGTTGCACATAACCTAGAGTTCACCTGTCCTTCTCTGCTTTGTGCCTTGTTTCCTCCTTTGCACTGTCACTAATGTAAGTTCTGTGGGCATCTTCCTGAAAAGCCTGCAAGCCTTCATCACAGCTGAAGACGTGGTCTGGAAGGCATCCCATTTCCTTGGTCGTTTTCTTACAACTTTGCTGGAAATGCAGCTTCTGCAGTTACAGAGTGGCCTCTCCAGTAAGTTTTCTATTTTTCAGCCCATGCCTGTTCCTGAGTCTGTTTGACCATCCTTCATGTGCATGACCGTCTGGGCGTCCTTCACTTCATGGGGTCCTTTCTCAAGTCCTCCCCTGGGCCCAGTACTTTGGGCCCAACCTGTTACCCTCAATTGGAACACGTTTTCTGTCTGTGCCTTCTGCTAACAAAATTAATGCCTTTTCTTGATTAAGCACTTACAAGGCACTGTGGCTATAATTTTTGTGTTTTTACCTGTGACAGCAAAACTAGTATGAATTTCTTTTGAGGATTTGTTCTTACCATAGATCTTAGCAACCTGAGCATACAATTTTTTTTCTGAAAACTCTTAGCCTTTCACTTAAAGGAAGCACTTTACAGCTTCTCTGTGGTGTATCCAAATGTCCAGCAACAGTATTTTTGGACTTTGGAACCATTATTAAGTAAGAGAAGAATTATTTGAATACAAGCACTGTAGTACCATGACGGCTAATCCGATAACCTAGACAGCTACTAAGTGACTTAACAGAAAGATAGGATATTTAGCACGTGCATACTAGATAAAGGGGTGGTTCACATCTTCAGCAGGACATCATACTTCGCAATGCTATGCAGAAGAGTGCACAATCGAATTGTTTATTATTGTAATTTTTATTTAATATATTTTTTACTGTGGTGGACAATGGACCTCAGGTAAGTAAAACCATGAAAGCAAAGTTACACATAAAGGGGGAAGTCTATGTTATAGAAAATATGAATTTTCAAGACATAATTTATACAGAAACATAAAAATAACTCTTGAATAAGCCTAACAAACAATGCCTTAGATTATGGGTATCCAGCCTATTGGCTTGCCTGGGCCTTCTTGAGTGAAGAGGAATTGTCTTGAGCTGCATGTAATATGATATGATATAATATAATATATATACATTTTAAAAATTTGTATATATAAAGTATATATATTTTTAAGTTTTTAATATATTTTTATTATAATATTGCTAGTATTAGCAGTGTTATGTGTATAACAATATCATCAGCAAACAGCTATCTGATAAATTTTTGTACTTCCCATATATTAGCTAAAATTTACCTTAACTTACTTTATTTCACAAAGTAACACAAGAAACCCAAGTTTAATATTTAAATAAGAAAACCTACATATCTGCTTTATAA